GCAAGACCGAGGATCTTTTAAAAAAAAATGAAATTCGATTTTTAAAACCAAGGAGTTTTCAATTAAAAGATTTTAATATGACAGGAACAGTGGAAATATTCTATTCCCGATACTTTTAGTGCAGCCCTCGTATGCGGGTTAACTCCGGGTAAACGCGAAAGAATGCATAAAAGTAGCTTTACTCAATGTGTAGTGTTCGCGTAAATATAAGAAATCATTATAATTACAGCTTGTTGTTCACGGTGATCTTGTGCTAATCCAAGTCGATGTTGGTGGATAACTTCCGGTGAACTTCTTGAAAATTTCGTGCTGATGGTATAAATCTTCCCTGGAATGCGTTGATGTATGCAGAACGAGCGACTGTTGTGCGTCCACGTGATATTCCAAAATAATAATGGATGTCAGCGATTTCTCGCGTAGAGAACTCGGTCAATCGCGGCATCTCAACAATTCACAAAAAAGTAGAGTAAAAGTAAGTCAATAACAGAACAAAACCAAAATAACGTAACAAAAACTCAACACACGGGACAGTAGGAGTGGTATCAGGTAGCAGTAGCAAGAATATCGGAGCGACTGGCTAACTCACTACCCATACCCACAGTATATCCCGTTGTAAATCGTATTGCGAACTCCCCAGTCCCCTCCTTCCTACCCTTGCTACAACACACAACAGGACACGTCCCGTCAAACCAATATTGTAACATTGTTAAAAAAAAAGGGTGGTGACCTGAGTGGTGAAGTCAATTTTAAATCAGATGACAAGCGCTCAACGCGCGTTTTGATACGCGCGTTTACAACTACATCAGTTTTATTCAGGCCGTACACATGCTAACGGGCGGTTTAATAAAGCGCTCGTTGAACGCTGCGCTAGCGCTCGACTGTCGTCAGCGCGCGTCAACGCGCGCTTCGCTTTGAGATCATTGGTTTTCCATGTTACCGTTCAGTTGGGCGCGCGCTTTTGATGCGGATCAGGGGCGTAGCTACCGCCGTATCAGCCGTATCAATGATACTGGGCCCCCGGGCTACAGGGGCCCCGAACGTGTATAAGCAAAAATTCTAAGGACTTCTATTGGACAGGATGTTAATTAGAATTGTTTGGCTAGCTTAGTTCCTAGGAGTATTAATTGTAAGTAATTATTTTAATTAAAAATAAAAACTTATGATCAATATATAATTATTTTAATTCAATGCGAGAGTTTTTGTTTCTTTTGTGAAAAATCTTTACCCTTCATTTAGGCCCCCCGACAAATTTTGATACAGGGCCTACTCTAAGGCACGCTACTCCACTGATGCGGATAGACGTATTTTAGGGTTCGCTCAGTTCATCCAGAAATCATCCGAAATAGAAACGGAAGCTTTTAATACCAAATTATTTATAGATGAAATAGAGAAACGTCCTGCGATATGGAACATGACGAGGGCGGCCGCGGCAACGCGCGTTCAACGCCTGACAAGCGCGCACCATGTGAATACTATACAAAACTTTTACGCGCGTTGAACGCTTGTCATCTGAACGTACCCTTAGCCAGCGTGTTTTTGTGTTACAGCGTAATTTTTTTTTATTTGAAAGGCCATATGATGGAGAATAATAATAAATCATAAAATTTCCTGGTATTGGGGGCAAAATTCTGAGAAAATTAGAGATCATTGAAAAACAGTCATAAAAAATGGATTTTTTTCACGAAAAGCAAAGATAGTCATGATGGCACTTTTTTCCAGCTAATTGTTATTTTATCCTTACTGCCAAGTACATGGCATATTTTATTTTTATTTTAAAGTAAGCGACCCACTACTTTGGAAGAAATCGTTATTTTTTATTCATAGAGTCTACTTATGATATGAAAAACTTAATTCGTCAATAAAAAGTAAAACTTTTTGTCGATAATTTATGGTCTAGTTTCATTTCATCTCTTAGTATGTCTATACTTTAAAATTTATTCATCAGCGTGACAAGAAATAAAACAAAATTTTAGATTTCTTAAAAAAATGAATTTTTCCAATACAAATGATATAAAAATACAATGTTGAAAATTTACAGCAGACATACTACATTCAGCAGTTATGTTATATTCAAATTTAGCTATATAAACCTTACATCAATTATATGTATAACTAATTATATAAGATTCTCACAAACTAATTCGCTGAACATCGTGAACTATAACTGATAAATTTATACATTATTAAGCTTAGTATATAGAGAATCGTTTCGTTGTAAAATTTTGTTTAATCGTAAATTTCTATTGACTACCAAAACGAATCTTGTGTTATATCATCTGCATATTATCGGCATGAATAATGCATACATGCATCTTACATGGATGTACCAATTTCTGATACTACCCTCACCTGCTGTACTTCCAATACGAACGGTCGAGTTTCTAGAATATTGTAATATATTATTTTTAAATGCCAACTTAAATATCAACTTGTGATGGCAAATAGCATTAACAGTGCGTGGGTACAGACTGTACGAGTACGACTATAGGTGTTGAGTGTGGGCAAATCCTTTGCATTCCCGTAACTGCAGCTTGAAACAACATTTTTCTAGTACTGAAGAGGCTAATAAAAGTGATAAATAATGAATAGAATAAGGCCCAATTTACACTGCCGCGGAACGGAACGGAAGCGAATTTTTGTAACGAAACTGTACATAGAAAAATGAGTTTTATGATAATTGGATAAAGTTCAAATTAGATATGAGCCAAAAAAAGTCGCGCGTCTTCCGTGGAATTCTCGAGGATTCCCTAGCTACTGTTGGCGCAGTCTGTGGAATCCACGGGAAACGGCGCGAAAGTTGTGGAATCCGGTGGAAGCCGGGAAGTGGCACTCGCAGCCACTTAGTTAGCTTCGAGGCGTAGTCGCTGGAATCGGCTTCCCGCGCGACGGGCCGAAATTGACGCTTCCATTCCGCCGCAATGTAAATTGAGCCTAAGAGTTATGAGAGTTATCGATATAGCCTGATGAATTTGCAAACTGAAGTGAATATAATAAGCCAGTACCATCTAATGCAGCAGAGCAGAATCAATCTGAGCGACTCATGGCATGAACTTTGGGTAAAAGCCGTAGAAAGTGAATACTTATATCTGAAAGTCGGGCAAAGCAGCTAAATGCCGCAGGCTAAGGTGTAATCACCAATAATTCTAACATAACATAATAGTTTAATTTAGAGTTCAAACATAAGGACTCATTAAAGCTTTTTATTAGAATATCCTCTACACCATACCATGCCCAGATTCTTGCAAGAGGCCACAGGGAAACAAACCGGGAGATGAGCAGTCTTCCTAATAACAACTAGAAAATAAAATCTGCAGTTGCCAACCCGCCTGCCAAGCGTGGCATGACAAAAATCTTTCTTATGAGGTAATCTATGGGAATTCTATGTTCAGCATTGGACTTTGGTAGATTGTACTAAATGAATGAATGAAGCTTTTTATGTGTTTATTTTTAAATAAATGTTTTGATCGTCGATGTTCGCAAATTATTCCACTCCATTGGTGTACGCAACACAAAACACGAAGCAAATTGTTTGGTTCGTGTTTTGTGTTGCGTACTACTTTACTTTTTATACTAATAGTGTGAATGTTTTACTTAAATTAATCCTTAGTACTAAGTGCCGTCAGAAAATAACGATTAACGGCTAACTTACATATCAGCTGTAAACCGTTTTCCTATCCGACACGCAGACTAAAACCATCACTTGATAAGAAAACGAAATGTAAATAACTACTACCCACATTGACTGCAATATATAAAATGCGTCAGAAGCCATAATTGGTAGATGGTATGATTAATTTATTTATACGACCTTTAATCGATTCAACAGGATACTGTCTATGTGATACCATTGTTGCACACTCGTGACTAACGCGAGCCAAAAATGGACATATATTTATATTCATATGTGAGACCTTAACTCTGCATATAATCACAATGTCATTAGAGATATGACTAGTTCTTCGTTTGTTTTGTATACAAACTATACACAATTAGTCGTCAAGTCATGCTTAAACCATAAACATTATCAAGCATAAGAATAAGGCCTCAGTAGAGAGCTTTCGGCGAGACGGATAGGACACACACTCGCTCTTGTATTAGGTGTCCAGAGTGAGACCTGCATAAAATGAACGTCCAACACTACACTACACTGCACTGCACAGGTCGCCGAAAGATCTCCGCTTAGGAGGCTAATGGCCAAATACTCGAACGCTACTCAACATTAAGGCGACACCGCGAAAAACTGCACCTCCTTTTATCGAATAGTATAGGAGTATGACACGACTAACGAAGCTAGAATTTTGATACAGGTAAATTCATCTTTATCTTGAATATGCTTGTTCAAAAACACGATTGTAAAATTTTGGCTCGATCATAATTATTTGCGAAAACACTTCTAAAAAATCACTATAGTTGAAATTACAACGAAATTACTTAATCTATATGCTACTCAAATACATTCATAACATCAATATTCGTAATTTACTTGTTCATTATTTTGATTACTAAAATCAATAATTTTTTAAAATATTTTAAGATTCTAAGCGATTTCTAAGCAGTCTTAATCGGCGCGGGCGTCAGTCCGGCGATAGCACGCTTCAACGGTTTTCGATGTATCGCCTTAAGATGTCGTTAAGTTTCGTGATGTCACTGACTTAGTGGTGGAGCAGCGTTTGAGTATTTGGACATAAAATTTCAGATTGATATAACTTACGGAGCAATACATTTTTAAATAATGACTTGGTTGAACTGAGAGAAACCTGAGAAAAAATATTCTATGTAACTTTATAATAATTCTATAATTTACGTTCACACATTTCCTACAATATAAAGCGTAATTAAAAAAGTAAGCTACTTACTTGAAATGATATAAAAGGAATTACTGTATGATATACTTTCACATAATCTCTAATTTGTTTTCTTACTAAAGCGTATTTCTTACTAAGGGGCAAGTATATAAATTATTTGGTGGGAACAACAATTAATATGAATAAGATTATTTGTCAAAATTTAATAAGATCTTCCGTTAATGCCTGTGACAAATTTTCTTTACTAGCATTATTTTCTACATTGACTTCTTGCTTTTCTGTAGGCTTAGGTGACAACTTCCTTCTAGGTGGTATTGGAATATCATCTAAAATACCCGTTACACCCAAGTATCTTCCTTGTTCAGCAAACACCCGCACATCTTGACCTATTTCTGCTCGCCGACTTCCAGGTGAATATTTCGTTCTAACTGGAGGACTTGGTGCGGCCCGAGAGTACGTAGGTCGGTTATCAAAAATTGATAGATCAACAGGATTTAAAGTTGATGCAAACACCGCTGATGTTTTGCTTTTCTCCAATGCGAATCCTTGGCTATTACTAACATCTTTGGAATCACTTTCTTTGTTTTGTTCATCAGTATAGAAAACTGCCTTTTTTGAATACGCCTCGTGTAAAAGTTTGTAAGCTTGAACATCCGACTTGCTTCGTTCGAGTGTAAAAGCACCATTGGTATGAAGATGGCAGCTAAAAGAACTGGTATTTATTGTGCAAGCTGGAGCAGTTGAAAAAGGCACTGATGGAGCCCAAAGACAGGCACCTTCATTTCTTGGAACCAGCAACAGGGGATCCTATATGGATGGAAATTTCAATTCAGTTTTGTATATAACTTAATGAAATACATGATATGTAAAATAAATATTGCCGTCCCTCAATTAGAATATTGAGGTGTCATAGTAATGCAAACAAAGTTAAATTTAGTATGGAAAATAGATATTGCTAATTTAAGAAATTAAGAATAATAATAAAATATTGATTTGTTAGACGACATCAACAAAAAGGTTTTCAATTATTTAAACGACAGATAAAGATATGTCTGAAACATGATTTCTAAACTTTATTATATTTATGATTATTTAAATGATATAAACATATTTTAACTATACTAATCAAATAATTAGTTTAAATTATAATGTGTATTATTTTGATAAATTACATATTATTCATAAACACAATATCATAACAATGAGTTTAATTTAAAACGTACAGTATAATTTAAACTAATAAAATTAATAAAATATTTACGTGGTAGAGCCATACTGCAGATATATTAATAGTATAGTTGTAGCACGAATGGGTCGGCTCGACCGGGGAAGGACCACGCTCTCACAGAATACCAGCGTACAATAGCAGCTGCTGTGTTTCGTATGGTGAGTGTAGAGAACCGGAGACCCATTTTACTGGAAAAGAGGCATTCTATCTTAGTCCTCACGGCTGACAACGCATCTGCATTTTAATCCGCAAACGAAGATAGATGTAGACGTCTATGGGCCACAGCAACCACCTACCATCAGGTGGACTGTGTGCTCGTTTGTTAAGCTTATTCTATAAAAAAAATATTGACAGTAAAAACTGTGAACATATGAGCAACACAAACTTTACATTGACTGCGTCGTTGGTTTAGGGAACTTTTTGTGGGTTCGAATCTCTAGTGTGTGTCCGACACACCAACTATTAGAACGACATACAGAAATTCACAAGCCTGGCATTTAGGCATTATCCTGACACTTCTCTCTCTCTTCTTTCACATCCATAATACATGTAAAGCTTGTTTTATGTATAATGTAATTGTTGCTGTTCTCAGAGGCCCATGTTCAGTAGTGGACTTTCACCGGCCGATGAATAATTAAAAGTTTGAATCAAATATGGAAGACGTGACGTCAGAACATTGCTGTGCACTCAAGGTGACTGCCAGAGCCGACCGTCTGTTGCAAACAGCGGACCCGGATCATCGCAGCAAATAACTTGTCTGGTCCCGACCAAATTCAGTCTCGATTACGTCGCTATCACACGTGTAATGAAATAATTTAAAATTAAAATTTTTGTACAACCGACTTCAATATAGGCCTCTGTTGAGGGGAAGTAGGGACTTGTGAAGGGCTGTAATGATGATGATGATGACTTCAATATAAATTATTAAGGATAACTCAAAAATTGCTGGTCAGACCTTGATCAAATTTATATGGGACCACATGAGAAGCACCAGCTTTCAAATAAAAAAGAATCATCGAAATCGGTTCACCCAGAAAAAAATATTAGGTAACACACATAAAAGAACATACAGTCGAATTGAGTACGGTCTGCTTTTTGAAGTCGGTAGATAAAAGCTATTGATTTTTACGAATATCATTAAAACTTCATTTGTCAGGCTTCAACATGTTTGTATTATCTAAATCACAGACATACAATGCAATTAAAATAAGAATTGGAACGTCAATGAACTCGAATGACAGCAATCTGTCAACTGTCACTTGAAAAGTACGGCTTGCATAGAAAACTAATTTTCCACTTTTATATTTATGTAACTGAGTCACAGCGGTGACACTCTCTGTACGTGAGAGTTGAAGCGCCGGTGACATTAGGCCGGAGCGCGTAACGCTAGGGTTGATACCGAACCGAAATGGAATATTATAAACTTGTGCCATAGAAGATACATAGTAGGTATATGTTATATAATGTAAATATGTATTTAGATAGTGAAAGATACGATCAATTTTATATCAAATTTATTAAATATCTTTACAGATGGGGAAAATTAAAATTTCCGACAAAACAAAATATGCACGACAGTTAATGGTAATCTTAAATAATAATTAACCAACACTTAGTATTTCAGTACGCAATAATTAGTATTACCTACTACCCTTTAAAAATTACTTACTCATATATATTTTTGGCTTTTTCGATGACTTTTATAATTTTTATTATTATTTCTAACAATTGAAAAAATTCGAAGCCGTATGTATAATTTTTTTAGAAAATCCATAGGGAAGCTTAGATAGATAGATAGATAACACTTAATTGTATGCCAAAAAAACATAGATATTAACCAAAAATGAGAAAAATAAATGTGATACAATGGGTGGTCTTATCGCTAAGAGCGATATCTTCCAGACAACCTTTGGATGGACAGGATTGCAAGAAAACAATAAAAACGTGTGTGGTTTGGCGACAAAAATAACATTATTTTTATTAAAGCCATAAAATAGAAATGCAGAATGGTATATAAGTACATAGATAAGATAAATACATACATACATATTAACATATATGTATATACAACGTGTCCCAAAATTCAACGATAAGCCAACACCGGAGGATAGACCTGCCCCGGACTAATCGGGTAAAAAAAGAAAAAAAATATATCCCAATTATATTTTAAGTTATATAAAAAAAATGAAATTCTTCAGAAATTGAGACCGTTTATGATATTTTTCACTACCATGACCACAATTTTTTAAATATTTTTTCTTTTTTTTTATAGGCAACCTGAATAGTACTGTAATCTACCACAATTCTTAAAAACTCCAGAATAACTCTTGTTTTATCACGAAAATTAATGAAACTTATTTTATTCCCTAAATTTTTTGAAGACTTTTACTTTTAACCAAATTTAACTTATCGTGGTGTAAAAAAAAAGTATGAACACTAGTATGGCAAGTTTTTTTAAAAATTGACGCAACTAACCAATATTCCAAAATGGTATAATACTCTAGGAAAACAAGTTATAAAAAAATATGGGCCTATTATTTTTTAACAGGGGCCAAATGACGGTCGGGTGTAATAAAAGTATTATTTCTTGAAAAATGTTTAATATTTCAAAACAAACGGTACAACCAGTTTCACGTGTAATTTATTAAGTTATTAACATTATAGCAAATGTTCGAACTGTTTGCCACCAGCATTAATACATGCACGACATCGCCTTAAAAATGATCGTTTTATTTGTCTTGCATATCTTCTGCTATTAATGTAATCAGCAGCCTGAGTGATATTTCGACGAAGCTCGTCCAATGTCACAATGGGTTTTGAGTAGACCCTGTTTTTAAGACAACCCCAATAGAAGAAGTCCAGGGGGTTCAAATCGGGTGAACGGGGTGGCCATAAGATAGGACCAAGTCGCCCGATCCAACGCCCTGGATACTCTTGATTTAAATATTCTCGCACAGGACGGGCATAATGTGCTGGGCAACCATCATTTTGGAACCACATGTTTTGAAGATCACTTAAGGGCACGTCGTTTAACAATTCTTGCAAGTCATTTTGTAAAAAGTTTAAATAACTATTGCCATCTAAGTTTCCTTGTAACTCAAAGGGCCCAATTACTTTTCCATTTAATATGCCGGTCCATAGGTTAACCTTGAATTGATATTGGGATTTGTCTTGTCTCATCAAGTGTGGATTTTCATTACTCCATGCAATGCAATATATATATATATATATATATATATATATATATATATATATATATATATATATATATATATATATTGCAACTAAATAAAGGTAGAATAATTATATACAAATGAATAGGCATTGTTTTTGTATAAAGCGCAGCCCACAGCCAGGGCAGTCGGCGACGGCCCGTTCCACACCCCGCGCACCTCTCAAGGCCCCCGCACACATCCAGACACCCTCACATAGCCGCAAGTGATTTTACGTGCACACATGCTTAAGTGTCGTTTCTTTTCGCGTAGTGTATATATTCTTTGACTGAGTCTTAATATTACCAAATCTATTAAAGTAATAAATAGTTTTAAATTAGCAACTGGGTTTTCTTCTATTTTCATTGTTGGAAATATTTCGCCAAAAAGTATTTTTAACTCCCAAGGTTTTGAAGTTTTAAGACTGCCACCCTACAAATGCGATTTAAATCCAATTGAATATATCTGGCACTTGATTGAGCGTAGGGTGGTAGATAAAATTATTCAACAGTTAGAAAGCCAAATCGATTTACTAGAAGCAATTGCTTCAATTATCAGTGACGATTAAAGTTAAAAAGTTAAAGTTACAGACATTCCCTTGCCTTAAAACCGAACTAAAGTTGCGTACTGTGAATTTTGCAGCGAGTGCTTAGACTCTGAGGTACCACGGCTTCAGTGACGATTGGAAGAAAGAAATGAACAACGTCAAACGAATCGAAAATTAATACCGGCAAAGGGATATATTTCAAGACGATGATAACTTTAGTTTTATTATAAACACGGGTAATAAAATGACTAGTCAATCTAATTATTTAAAACATAAAAGATTTTTAATATTGATATGGTCACTATTATATGTTGTTAGGTTAGCTAATTACTTAATAACTTGTGACAGAAGGACCCTTAAGTAGGGAATGAATCAATTAACCGACTTGGTATTACATGGATCTCACAACTTTTTACGGTAGAAGAACTGAGTTGCGAGACTTGGTTTTTTAGTAGTTTAAGTTATATTTTGATGACATCTACGTAACTACATGTTCTATTTTTATAGGGGAAAGCAGCATTGTTGTGATGATGACGATGATGACTACTAAGACAGTGATGCTGATGAGCGGAATTGAAGTGCTACATTCCGATTAAAACTTTTTCATTCATGGTTATTTTGTATTTATTTGAAAATAAATATTATCTCACAAATATCCATTTTGCTCACCCTACCTGGTTTCAATTGACAGCTATGAAACACAATATGGCGCCAGGTCCTATTAGTATTTGAATCGCATAGTAGTGTCTATTATAAACGTATACTTTAAGTACTTTTATTTAATACGCATATTTACCTTGCCAGTTATTGAATAAATCTTTGACTGAAGTATGTGCAAGCGGTTTCTCAAGTATTCATAAGAGCACTGTCGTAGTTTCAATACCCACTGTACAACATTGTCTTCAGAACGTGCTGCAAAAATATGTCGCTTTTCAGGTTCGTCTCTGAAAACATAAACATTATCATAGGGACATGACATGAGGCCTTGTCAAGAAGACTTAGTTCCACCGTGTATGCAGTAAAAAAGATACGGCTGTTTACAGATGTTGATACACCATTACAGCAAAATTAGTTTATTTTAAATATATTCACAATGGATTATTATTGTGAGAATCAGAAACTAATATTGAAAATATATTTATACTACAGAAAAGAGTTATATATGTTATTTACAACATTAAAATAAGGTGCTTACTCAGAGACCTTTTTAAAGAAATAAACATAAAAAAGCTTGTTTTAACGTTTTTAACACTATAATTGGCTACGATGGCGACCATGTGGTAACTGCGGAGCAGTGGGTGCTAAGAATCTCCGATGGAGGTTCGGTTGCTACCTAAAACGACTTGACCTGGCAACATTTAACGCACGCACCCTGAAGACTGACGAGAAAATCCTGGAGCTGGAGGTGATAAACAAGTTATGGTGGGGATATTCAGATCCAAAGATAGGGGGAGGACAAGGTAGGCAAATTCCGGATATAATTAATAGAATCAGGCGTTACTTTGCGGAAATCTATTATACAAAAGCTTTTAAAAAATTTACTTATATTATATAACAGCGCGGATGTTTGCGAAGTAATTTTTTTTAAAAATTCGGGATATTGCAACGGAACCAAAGCGACCGACTTCATGGAGAGTTGGAGAGAGAGGAACTATTTATGATGGATTCTTTCTTCCAGAAGCGGTCCCACAGAAAGTAGACCTGGTCGAACCCCGAAGGTTCGACAAAAAATGAAATTGACTTCATTATGACAACTAGAGGGCAACTGTTCAGTGATGTCTCGGTGATCGCGATGGTGAAAACTAGTAGCAATCACCGAATGGTAAGAGACACACTGAACCTTAATTTGGAGAAGTCACGCCTAATGAATTCAACGCTCCGTCCCCTTCGTACTCTAAAGCCCCGAAAACTTTCACCTTGAGTTACAAACTCGTTTTCAGTGCTTAGAAGACTGCAATATAGTGGAAGATATAAATGACAAGCTCTTGGAAACTTTCTATGCAGTTGGACCTAAACTTTGCAAGACCCGTCGCAAAAGAATCTTAACACTCTCCGATCACACTTTCTCATAGTTGTTAGGCGGAAAATGAAGCTGCAATCTTCAACAGATGACTGAATACAGGCAACTAACCATACTGATCTTCAAATGCATGCAGCGGGACTTATGCAATTTCAATACAGCTCGTATTGAAGAAGCCATCGAGCGGAACCAAGGCTCCAAAGTCTTTGCTAGAGATCTGTCTGTCACAAAGAGCCAACTGTCGTACCTGAAGACCGAAAGTGGTAGCATCGTTTCCGAGACACCTTAGATTGTGATTGAGATTGAGAGGTTCTAAGGGCAGCTGTACACATCATCGTTGAAACCACACGCAAGTGTGAGTATAGTGTCGGAAAAGACGTGATCTTGAAACGTTATCCGACACTATTCCGATGATATCCCGGACGTCAGTTTGAGCGAGCTTAGAATGGTTCTTCAGCACCTTAAAAACGGCAAAGCCCCGGACGAGGATGGAATTACAGCGGAACTTCTTAAAGCGGGTGAAAAATCAAAACTTAAAGTCCTTCAGAGGCTCTCTAATTCCATCCTTTATGGTGGCACTACTTCGGAAACGTGGAGCAGAAGTGCGGTGGTCTTGTTTTTCAAGAAAGCCGACGACAATCTGTTGAAGAACTACCGACCGATTTTCCTTCTGAGCCGCGTCTACGTGCTGTTTTCGAGAGTCTGGTAAATAAGAGTACTGGAAAGGATATGATATTAACATCAATGGCGAGTACATCAATCACCTTAGATTTGCCGACGATATAGTCCTTATGGCAGAATCGCTGGAGGACCTAAGCACTATGCTCATTGATCTCAATTGTGTTTTCCAACGGAAAGGTGAACAGACAAAACAAAAGGTCATGTAACATCCATATCCAACCTATGCCGGTAGTTGTTCGGAGCACTAAGCTCGAAGTTGTTGACGAGTAGGTTTACCTGGGACAAATAGTCCGACTAGGTAAGTCCAACTTAGACCGAGAGGTCAATCGCCGGATTCAACTCGGCTGGGCAGCGTTCGGGAGGTTACGACACATCTTCTCGTCAGGTATACCTCAAAACTTCAAAACAAGATTGTACAACCAGATCTGAGACGTAGTCCGTCACTGCTGGCCGTATGGGGAAGCTCAACATCGTTCAGCGAGCTATAGAGAGGGCTATGCTCAGGGTTTCTCTGCGTGATAGACTTAAAAATGAGTACCTATCACAGAATACCAGCGTAAAATAGCAGCTTAAAGCTGCTGAGATTCGTATGATCAGTGTAGAGAACAGGAGACCCTTTTTACTGGAAACGAGGCATTCCATCTTAGTACTCACGGGTGACAACGCATCTGCATTTTGATTCTTTATTGAGGATAGATGTAGATGTCTATGGGTCACAGCTACCACTTACCATCAGGTGGACTGTGTGCTCGTTTGACACCCTATCCTATAAAAAAAACCTATACCCGCAGTAGAAACAGAGTAACCGACTTAGCGCATCGAATTAAGTAAGCTGAAGTGGCAATGGGCCGGCCATATAGCTCGAAGAACCGATCCGATGGGGAAGAGACTCTCGAGTGGCAGCCTCGTACCGGTAGGCGAAGTGTAGGGCGACCCCCCACTAGATTAAGTGACGACCTGGTATGACACATATACGAAGTCGATGGATGCAGGTGGCTGCAGACCGTGCTTTGTGTCATTTCTTGTCATTTCCCTTCACAAGTCAACTGCTGAGGCCTATGCTCAGCAGTAGACTTGTGAAGGGATGTAATGATGGTGATGATAAATATTAAAATGCTTAAACTTTTCTTTGTTATGTCATTACGGTACCCATATGCCACTTTAAGTACAGAAGTTTTCTTTATACAGGGTGTTTGTGAAACGCTCCCGAAAACAAAGACAGACGATAGTACTAACGATACCTTTGATTATGGGTCAGAAAGAAAATCTTTTAACAACGCTTTATTAGCTTTATTGACACTCCTTCACAATCGTTTTGTTTTTACTTATTATAAGCCAGTGATTGACCACAATCCCACCTGGTGGTAAGTGGTGATGCAGCCTTAGATGGTAAATCGCACTGTCTTATCGTAACAAAAGCTTATTCACTCTTGCCTTGAAGACGCCTAGATTGTATTCGGACGGAAAGATAGACGCCGGCAAATTATTCCACTGCTTTGTTGTACACATTACAAAAGACGAAGCAAACCGTTTGGTTCTAATGCGTGGAATATCGACAACAAAGGAATGAAGACCTGCCGACCGTCTGATTGTCCGATGGTGGAAAGGAGAGGGAGGAATTAAGGCGTGTAATTCCTGTGCACACTCACCGAAATGCATCCTATAGAATACCGAGAGACTGGCTACTCTGCGCCTGTGCTCGAGGCTGAAGAGATTGGTTTCAACCAAATCAAGGTCACCAATGAGCCTCTTAGCACGTCTCTCCACTGAGTCCAATGCTGCCAGGTGGCATTTTGCAGCACCAGCCCATATGTGACAGCAGTACTTCATGCACGACCGGACTTGCGCTTTATATAAGGTAAGAAGCTGCCCCGGCGTGAAGTACCGCCGCAACCTTGCAAAGACACCAAGTTTCCTTGCAGCTGCTTTGGCTCTGGACTCAATGAACCGCCCATAGTTTAGGTTCGGAGAAAATTCAATCCCTAACAACTGAAGGCGGTCAGTGTTCTCCAAGGATACATTCCGGAAAGTAGGAGCCAAGATGGGCGGGCTCCTTTTAGCGGTAAAAAGACACGCTTGTGTTTTGGAGGCTTTAAATCTCACGAGATTGGCATCGCCCCATTCGGAGACTGCCTCTAGTGTGAGACTCACATGCTCAAACATAGCCTCTCTTTCTGATTGGATTTGATCCCGACTGCACCGGGCGCAGGGTTGATATCTCTCCACAACTGTGCTGTCGTCTGCATACCCATAGACACCGGGAATGAGCAGATCATTTATATGCAGCAGGAAGAGAGTTGCGGAGAGAACGGACCCCTGAGGAACACCGGCGTTAGTCACCACAGTATCGGATCAGCAGCCATCAACGACGACCCGGAGGGACCGTTCACTCAGAAAGTCCTTTACCCAGACAATTAGGCCAGGGGATAAGCCGTATGCAGAAAGCTTGCCTAATAGACTAGTGTGCCAAACCCTGTCAAAAGCCTTCGAAACATCGAGGGAAACAGCAAGTGTTCACCACTGTTCTCGAGGGCTTCGCGCCATATGTCAGTGGCATACACCCGTATTGGCGATCACTGAGGAGATCATAAAGTAGTACAGCTAAATGAAACGATAATTTCATTAAAAAAAATAATGAAAATACTTAAACAACTTACAATACTTAAAAATATAAAACCAGCAGTGTAATTTAAAACCAGCTGACTAGGGTCAATATACGCGCGGACGTCGAATTCGGGTGGCCCACAGCTAGCGATCGTACCAATACCTAATAATTTACAACACTTGTATAAATACCTAACTTATCTACTTAACCGACTATTTTTCCACTGTGTCTTGTCTCCACCTAGCCACTTTAATTTCACAGGTTAAATAAACCAAACACCTGGTTCGATTCCCCACTAATGAAAAAAAATATTTAAATGAACTGAAAGTACTAAGTTATTTAAAAAAAAATTAGTTATGAAACAGCTAAATAATCTAATCTAAATCCTCCGTGGCCTTATGAGATTTATATATTATTGCCGTATTCACGAGCACTATAAACGTGCGCGTTAGGTATTATTAAAACAAAACAAAAAACGTAAAAATAAAAAGTAAAGTAAAATTAATAATCAATCCCGACAAAACAAATGCCAACCGCTAAGTCCGTGCGCCGTAACGTACTTGCGGCAAGCACTTTGAACATTTCCACAGATCGTTAAACCGTCACGATATTGCCAAATTTTATTTTATTTATAAGTTTAGTTATCCCTACGACTAGTCTTTATATTATGGAATTTAGAGGTTATGGTTGTCATTTTTAGTACAATTACACAATCAATTTCACCCTGACGCAACAAGCAGTTCGTTACGACAAATATGATATTAAAATTAATAAACGTACCAAATTAGGTACTCACAACAACATTTTTTTCTTTAAAATTATAAAATAAAGAAATGAAAAGCATTAAATGATACACAAAAGTTGCCGAAATACATCCGAAAATTAAATTTGGGGCAATGAAGATAATTAAAAAAGGGCGTCATTCGATATTCATAAGTAACCTAACAAAAATGTTAAGATAAGTATTTAAATTTCTTGAAAAAAGGTTCTAACTTGGCCCGGGCTATCGATTTTTAAAATCTACGCATTTTCCACGTATAATACCAATCCCCAACCAACTTTAAATTCCCCGCAATTTGGGGAATTCCCCACATGTTGGCAGCGCACGACACGAGTCGGCCGGGCGCGTGTCTGAAAGAGAAGGGTAGAGTGAGTAATAATACCTAATGCATTGTTTCGTACCGAGCTAGATAAAAGAGTTCGGCGTCCGCGTGAATATTGACCCTAATTAGCTGATTTTAAAAGATGCTGCTGGTTTTACGTTTAAGTATTTTCATGACTTTTTATGTAATCATCGTTTCATGTAGCTGTACTACCATGATGGAGCGTGAATAAAACTAATAAAAAGTTGTGAAAAGATGATATTTTTCCTCGGGATCGTTTTCTTTCTGACCCATCATCAAAGGTATCGTTAGTACTATGGTCTGTCTTCGTTTTCGGGAGCGTTTCACAAACACCCGGGTACATTGTATTTATATAATATATATAATAAAAGGTCGGGGAAAAAGTTTCTTCGTATTTTAGATACAAAATCAAGACACCTTTTTTTTCAATATTTAATTATATTTAATTATAATATTTATGCGCCATTTTGTTTGATAACTTGTTGCCATCTTGGAGATACATATGACATAATCCCATTGCTGTAGAAATCTTGGGATTTTGGGTCAAAAAATGCGAGAATTAGTTTTGACAGTCCTCTCTTGATGTTAACCTAACACTACCCAAATTCTAAAGAGACCGAAACAGGTGACAATCTGAGGGTGCAATGTCAGGACTATTTGGTGGATGCATTAACACTTCCCAACCAAACTCTCTCAATTTTTGCTGAGTGGCCAAAGATGTGTGTGGTCTGGCGTTATCATGATAAAAGACCACACCTTTTCTATTGATCAATTCCGGCCGGTTTTTTTTCTCAATTTTTAGCTTGAGTCTCATTAGTTGTCGGCAGTAGAGATCCGAATCGAAGGTTTTGCCCGGCGTTAAAAGCTTATAATAAATGATGCCCTTCCAATCCCACCATACACACAGTATCAACTTATTGCGTGTTAGTTAGCGTGTTAGGGTAGTCAAGATCCACAGACTGTAGCGAGTGAAACCGGGTTTCGCTACAGTAGAGATAGTAGTAGAGGTAGTCAAACGCCACAGACTGTAGTCTGTGGCGTTTGACTACCCTTTGACCTTCTTTTTCGCACATTGTTGTCTAATATGCTGATCTTGCTCCACTTTATTAAAAATAGCATCGACTTTTCCATATGAGGGCGACGAAAGCGAGCTGCATCTTTGACAACAAATTTCCGGACTGAAAACGGTTGAACCAACTTCAGAGTGTATAAATTCGATAGATCCGTTAGGCGGGCTCCAGACTCCTGTGTGATTCACGGCGTGAATTCACGCCGTAATTTTGCCACGAAGTCGTCGCGAAAAACATGTCCCTCCACATTCACTATCGTTCACAGTTTAGTTCGCGCGCTCGTCAATAATGGACGCCGAAATATGCACTGCTATCGCCGTGACGCTATGCGCTTTGGCTCATTAAAATTACGTGTATATAAAAGATTAAAAAAAAATGGAGAAAACGAAGATGGTGGATGACAAAGATATATTTTTTTTTAATCAGTCACTTCAATACTCATTATTTCCTTTATTGGCATCCATGCCTCATGTACTTTCATTTTATTTTTATGCTCTTTGTGTTTAGCATCCCTTAAAATGGGTTCGGCATGATAGCACTCGATCAACATGAGTTCTTGCTCGTTCGTCTAACTGACGCTCATTTTGACGCACCGTCCTCCGTAAACAAGTCTTATACGTGATAGAGCCATGCTGCACGTATATTAGTAATATAGTTGTAGCACGAATGGGTCGGCTCGACCGGGGAAGGACGACGCTCACACAGAATACCAGCGTAAAATAGCAGCTTACACTACTGTGTTTTGTATGGTGAGTGTAGAGAACCGGAGACCATTTTTACTGAAAATGAGGCATTCCATCTCAGTCCTCACGGGTGACAACGCATCTGCATTTTGATTCGCAAACGAGGATAGATGTAGATGTCTATGGGCCACAGCAGCCACTTGCCATCAGGTGGACTGTGTGCTCGTTTGTCACCCTATCCTATAAAAAAATACAAATAAGCACAACCTCACGGCACCGAGTCTCGTGCATTACTGATTTCACGCGCGAGTGTGGATGTGCTTGCGTTCGCGGGAGGTTCGCGCCTCGTAAACCCTTTGAAACGGGCGTAAAATACCGACACTGAACGGGGAACAAGGCGTGAAAGGGCGCGAAGCCCATGAACGGGCGCGAAAGCCGTCCACATTCGCGGTTCACGGCTTTCACAGGTGTTCACGGCGTGAATGTGGAGGGCGATTTAGATCCACTCATTTTGGTGGACAGAAAAACGATTGAAAAATGGCGGGAAAATGTATTTACTTTTTCTTTTCGTATTGTCCTATATATGTATTAATATTAAAACCGGCCAGAAACAAAAAGTACAACCAGAGAGATTTTTCTTCAATTTTAAAAAACAAAATACGAAGAAACTTTTTCCCCATTTTATTGTTTGCTGATGTCTAGTGAATAGTGATACAATAACATTGTTTTTTTATATAAAGAACTTTATAAACATCAATTAATTTATTAAACAGGTTACCTGTTTATCTTATTAATCAGGTAGGTATATTGCGATATTACATAATATAATATAACACGCCTACTCAAGCACTAATCAAATACTAATAATTTGTTATGTCATCCATCCATTCTACCCATTACAGCCTATAAAAGTCCACTGCTAAACATAGGCTTTCCCCATAGAGTACCTATTTGGCTCTCGTTTGGCAGGCTTGGCAATAGCAGTTCTTTTATTTTTTAGTTGTCATTAGCAAAAAGCTTCTTCTAGTTTGTTCTCCTCTGTCGCCTCTTACAACACCGGTGGAAAGATTGTATAGAAAGAATTGTAGTAGATCTTCTTACACCGCCATAAACAGCCAAGGTAAGGTAGCACATTTTCATAACTTCCCTGGTTTTAATATTTCAGAGAGAGTGCTTTTCAATTTAACATTTCAATATAAAATATTCCGTTTGCATGATTACAAATATTATTTGTTACTTACATAAATGATATAGAAAATGAGAAAGATATACTTGGTCCATGTTCCATCTGAATTGATGAATTTTCCATAACAAAAACGCCAGCAGGATTTTTTGTATCAAATTTCCCCATTTCACTAATTTTAAAATAAAATAAATAATTGTTTATAAGTCTGAACCACCTTTCTTTAAATACTGAAAATAAAAACAAAACATTATAAGCAATGTTATATTTTAATTACTTTTCAATGTTAGATTATGGATTTATAAGCTGAAGTGCCAATAAGCCGACCATATTGCTCCAACAAGTGATAAGCATACCATATAAAGAGAATACAGACATATAGAAAATGGGGGAAAAAAGTTCTCGAGAGGAAGCCTTGTTGAAAGTTCTTAGAAAATCAAAAACTGAACAAACAAGCAAGTTATTAGTTTTATTATAGCTTTTCACGGCACGGTTCTTTGAACAATGTCATCCGAAGGGCTCATGTCTCTATAAATAATCCCTCAATTTTTTTAGAGACTTGTCTCAGGGGCACTCGTTTAGAGCCGGGATGGCATCAGAGGCAGCTGAACTAAGTGGTGCAAATATAGGTCTCTGAGAAATGACTACATATTTGTGCCATTTCCTGTAGAGACTAGACTATTGGTCCGTGGGGTCAACGTGTGGTGAAGTTCCTAAAGGAACTCTATCCGCAACTGGTTGTTGTGCTGGTGATAAGAGGGTTGGTTCTATTCTTGTTCATAGCCATTCAGTAAGGAAACACAGCCAGGGTTCTTGGCACAATACCACGGGGAGTAGGACTGTATGATATTAAGTTATTAGTTTTAGTTTTTTCTTTATTACAGTTTTTTTATATTATTTATTAAATAAATTAATTATTAAATTTCTAAACATTAAAAAAATTGCATAAAATATATGTGGGGTGTTTCCATAAAATTAGGGCCACTTTTGGAAGTAATTTGTCTTAATTATATTTAAGATGCTATTGCATTTCCTAATAATGTATATAATAGATGGTTAATTTATTATGTCATACCTAAAAGAGCCAGTCACTTTATGTAGTATTTGATGAGAAAATTAGAGTTTTGTGAATTTAGGCATCTAGGGACTGACTGTTATGGTTAGGGACTGATGGACTATAACTACATATATTATAATAAAATAAGATGTGTAGAGATTTTGAGACATATTTATTTATATTTTCATATACAACACAGACACAAGTATCACGGGGTACTATTCAGAATGAATATAATTTGACAAAATAATGAATTCAGCATTCACATTTTCATTGTTTCTATTATTAATCAGCGGGTTTGGAGCTATATTATTGTGGGTACCGTATTCACAGTCACAGTTAGTCACAAACATTTCTAATTTTTTCATTCTTTCTATAATCAGATGGGTACTTCTTCCACTCTTTTCTAATTTTTATTTGCTCAAGAGAGGTCATATCCTTAACAGAGTTTCGCTGTCCCTTCTTCTTTTTTAGATATTTTAGTCTTTCTTTCTCTTTATATTCAGCCAACAAAACTGGATTGCTTTTAATTATATCCAAATGTGCTTTTGTAGCAGCAGATTTTAATGGCTATCTCCTCCTAAGACAAACTTTAGCTTCTCTGCAGGTGGCATGTTGCTATAAAACAGATCAACACTTATTAGAAAATATAACCAATAAGTGTAGATAAACTTTCTAATCTCATGGTGTCCACCTTGTTCGGTCCAGATTTTAATTCCCGAAAGGGCAAGCTTTGGATCTAGTTTTATGTATATTTTATGTATAAGTAAATAAAAACATTTAAGGATAAGTCAATATGTGTAGTTTTCCAATAAATGTTACATAATTATGAGTGAACGCCAGTCCCTGATCACTCCCGTCAGTCCCTAGCATCATTCACAACTAGGCCCTGATGGCTCAGGGACTGACAATTCGGAGTAAAACGAAGAAAAATATACTAATCGACCACCATACTACGACATTGAACATTATCTACCGCACAAGATCAAAAGTAAATCACTTGTAAATATTAATCAATTAATGTCAATTTCCTATTATTAAACTATAAAATTACTTACCTATGGACTGACAAAGTGACTGGATCAACAATTGTTTGCACATCAACTGCTGTGTTTGCACAGATTTACAGAATAGCCGCTGCAAGGGGAGTGTAGTTTGCAGATAATATCATCTCTTTCTTTAAAATGAACTGGTTTACATTCGCTCTTCACTCATATTATGCCAAGAAATTTTAAAATCCGTTATTGGCTAGGGAATGATGATTAAAATTCAGGACACTTATTTCGACTTTAGAAAACATCTTAATTGACTTTTTAAATTACTAAAATTGATGAAATTATTTGTAAGTACTTTAATATTTAACAATAGTAAAGATAATTAAAGTATAAATTAATTGTTTTTCGAGATATGGATGCCCAAACAAAATTTCGGTGCGCGGACATGACTAGGGACTGACATTTAAAGTCAATAAAAATTATTAAGAGTGTAGTATATTACTATTTTAAACAAAGTTTGGGGAATAAATGAAATATACATAGTAGAGCCATGCTGCAGCTATATTTCTGGTATAGTTGTAACACGAATGGGTCGGCTCGACCGGGGAAGGACCACGCTCTCACAGAATACCAGCGTAAAATAGCAGCTTAATGCTGCTGTGTTTCATATGGTGAGTGTAGAGAACCGGAGACCCTTTTTACTGGAAACGAGGCATTCCATCTTAGTCCTCACGGCTGACAACGAATCTACATTTTTATTCGTACTTGAGGAAAAAATGTAGATGTCTATGGGTCACAGCAACCACTTACCATCAGGTGGACTGTGTGCTCGTTTGTCACCCTTATCCTATAAAAAAAAAACACATTCTGAACTGTTACTTAGCTATCTTAAAATAAAATAATTATTAATTATATCAAGTGAAAATTACTGCAGACACAGAGTTGCCCGATTTTTGTGGAAACACCCATATAAATATAAATTGCACTTCAGACAAGAAATGTTTTAAATTTTGCTTTCATTTAAAATATTTCTAGTCTGCAAGCTCTCATGAAAGATATTTTATTTTGTTAGTTAATCCTAAACTATGATTGAGTGGAACAGTAGCTTACAGGATATGAATTACAATTTTTAGATATAGTTTATACCATTTGATGTGTATGTATAATTTGTCTTCTTGATGTTGTTATTATTTATATAATTTAAATCATTTTTAAATAATTCTACACAATTGTGTAACTTTGGTGATTATTTTATTTAAATTTTAATTTTCTATCATATATTAGTTTTATGAAAAATATTACAGTGATAAAGAAAGTGAAAACCAATGGATATTTGGTTTTATTCAACATAAAAGATTACGTACAGTATAAAGACAAAATACATTGACAAGTAATAATATTTTAGGATGACAGATATCTTCGTTTATAACAATTATGAATAAGGTTGTATATTATAACAAAGAGGTAAGTATACTACAATCACCCGTCCTTGAAGTTCCAACATAATCGCGCAGATATGAGGGAGGCCGTCTGTCACGAGTGGAACGACGAAGTCCGCTCTTTTCTGTATCATTCTCTGTACTGTTATTTTGAACATTTTCGGTTTGTTCAGGTTGTACAGCTTCTACTGGCTCATTGTTTGTATTCATATCAGGGCGAATATTATTTCCATTATCTTGGCCGTTTTAATTATTCTCTTCACTAATCTGAATCATAGGTAGGGACGCCAATTGTCTATTGGATACAGTGCATTCTCGAGAGAGACAAACTTGCGAGTAAGTTCGATTTGCGTGAAGAACTTCTGCTTCTTCAACAAGTGGATCATATTTGGATGTTCTTATATTTTTCTTTATGAGTACAGGTCCAGAGTTTATAAGCCACGTAGGTAAAGATTTTCCATTAGGCGAACGACGTGGATGATTGAACATTCTTTCATGGGGAGTGACGTTTATAGTCGTACATAAAAGCAACCGAAGTGAGTGTAACGCCTTGGATAATACTCTTTCCCACTTTGAAATGTCCATATTCTTTGAACGATAGTAGTTCAACTTGGTCATTTCCTTGAGGAATGTAAGGTGTGGTTCGCTTAAGGTGTTAAGGTGTGCTTGTAGCTATTCCAAGTGGCGTTAAAAAATTTTTGAGCTCTTCTGATAAAAGTCGTACCTCAATCGGAATGTACGTATAATGGAAATCCGAAAGTGTGAAAAAGATCTTTCAAACATCGTATCACTGTAGCCACCAATAAATCACTGCAGGGATACGCAAACGGAAACCTCGAGTACTCGTCTATAATTGTAAGTAGGTATTGGTTTAGAGTATTCAATGGTAGTGGGCCTTTAAAATCTATATTTATTCTCTCGAATGGAGGAATAGCTTTTATCAACTGGCCTTTTGATTGACAGAACCGTGGTTTTATCTCAGCACATACTTTACAAGATGCTGTCATTAATATTATTTCTTCAACAGAATATGGAAGATTCTTTGATCTCATCCAGTGTACCATTCTGGTAACACCGGGATGACACAGCTGGTCATGTAATTCATACAGCTTATTTGGATTCATGAGAGCGCATACTCTTGATAATGCATCAGCTACAGTATTTTGATGACCTGGACGATAAATTATGTCGTCTTTGTAGCAAGACAGTTCTAAGCGCCACCGTTCAATTTTTTCATTTTTTATTTTGCTTGAATGTTTTTGATTGAACATAAAAGCAACAGACTGCTGATCGGTTATCAAAATAAAATTTCTTCCAATAAGATAGTGGCGCCATTTACGAAGTGCTTACACAATTGCGCTTGCTTCTTTTTAGATGACTGATGACTGATTCTAGATGACTGGCCACATTCTGTGTTGGACCAAGTTCTTGAAAGGAAAGCTACAGGGCGACCATTTTGAGAAAGGGTTGTAGCTATTGACTGCTCGGATGCATCGGTTTCTACTGTAAAAGTTTCGTCATTGTCAATAGCTGTCAGGGAAGCTTTGGTTATTTCCAATTTTAAAACATTTTATGGCTTCTTGGCTAAGTGGGAATCGTGTGTTGTCAATCAAAGGCTTAATAAGGTATGAAAAGTTGTAAATCCACTTCGAATAGTGAGCTAACATACCCAAAGTATGTCTTAATGAGACTGCATCTGTTGGAGTAGGGAGATCCAATAGTGGTTTTAATCGTTCTTTGTCTGGCTTGATAACGTTGTTCTCAATGGAATATCCTAATAGACTTATAATTTTTGAGCCAAAAGTCCATTTCTTCTCATTTAACGTAAGTTTGTATTTCCTCACAGCATTCATAAATTGCTGCAAGTTTTTATCGTGTTCGTCTCTATTTTCGCCACATACAGTCACGTCGTATAAATAACAGAAGGTGTCTCTTAGATTTTTAGCCTCAATTATGAACTGTAGCATTCTCTGAAACGCAGCCACGCCGTTAGTGACTCCAAATGGTATACGAGTAAATTGATATAGGGCCCCACATGCTTCAAATGCTGTATATTTTTGTTCAGTCTCTAAAATCGGCATTTGGTGATAAGCGCTTTTTAAATCAATTTGGCTGAAATAGTTGTATATTGCAACGTTGGAAACCATAGATTCAATGTTAGGCAGTGGATACGCATCGAGTTCAGTGAATCTATTAATTGTTAAGGAATAATCAATGACAAGACGTTTTCAATGTGTAGTGCCTCCTGTTACTAGTATTTGCGCTCGCCAAGGAGAGTTACTTGGTTCAATCACTACATCCTTAAATAATTTAGAAACTTCTCCTCTGATAAATTCTTCATCAATTTTTGTATAACGCCTTGACTTTATTGCAATTGGCTTTATGTTTGGAGAAAGGTTCGTAAACAACGATACAGGACGTACTGACGTTTCCATAACACATATTTTTAAGGAATCCCTTGAACACCCAAAAGTGGAATTCTAATGTCTTGTGGCTTTTCAATTTTTTTTTATAGGAGAGGGGGCAAACGACCATCCGGCTCACCTGATGGTAAGTGACTACCGCCGCCCATGAACAACTGCAACACCAGGGAGGGAATTGCAGATCAATAAATCATGTCCTAGGATAACATCTGCAAATAGGTTATTGACAATTAGTAAAGGTTGATTTGAATATGTATGCTTGTCTAAATTTATCGTATCATATGTAATGCCTTCTACAAAAGAAATATGACTAAGGGAAGTCAAAGATATAGCCTGCTTGTGAGGTCTCATCGTTAAGTTCTTATTTTGGGCTAATATCTTATTTATAAAACTGACAGAACTTCCTGTGTCAATCAGAGCTTCAGCGTGGAATTCATTAATCATAATAGGAACTGTTGCATACTACATACAGAAATAATACTTATCCTATAAATTTTAAGTAATGTCAAGGAGCAATTGAAGCAAATACTTTTGTGGACATGCAGCAGCCAGTGGAACACTAGACTAATTACAAAATATCCTAAAATATTCAAAAATGGCTTTAATTTGTTGCAATTTTATTTTATAGAATAGGCTGACAAACAAGCACACAGTCTACCTGATGGTAAGTGGTTGCTGTGGCCCATAGACATCTACATCTATCTTCATTTGCAAATTAAAATGCAGATGCGTTGTCAGCCGTGAGGACTAAGATAGAATGCCTATTTTCCAGTAAAAATGGTCTCCGGTTCTCTACACTCACCATACGAAACACAGCAGCATTAAGCTGCTATTTTACGCTGGTATTCAATTACAGTCAAAGAGAATATAATCACTATAATTAACTTAAAACTGTAACAAAACCAAAATAAAGCTATTGTGAAAAGAGGTAAATAGGATAATAAGAAAGTACCGTTTTCTTACAATCAAGACTCAAAACAACCCAAGACCCTGAACAAATTTATAGGTGAATATTCCTCTTGTACACATTTATCGTTACCACTAAATTAGATAAAGTTAAGTTTCTTACCTGCTTGGTTACGGTATCCACCGTTTGTTATCTTTTTGTAATTCAACCTTCCTTCCATTGAGCACGGTTGGTCGCTCAATAGAGCGAGTTCTCGGATGTTGCATTTCATTTGTATAAAAATAAATAAATAACAGCACCACGTAATTGTTATTTAAAGCCAATTAGAACTATGATTCATTTTCGTCATCAAGCACATATTTTCTGATTTGCACTAATTGGTAACAAAAATCTTTGTAAACAGCAATCATCACTTGGATGTGCAAAAATTAAAATAAACAGCATTATTCGATATAAGTCTATTTTCAATCATAAAATAATTTTCCTTTATTATAACACAAAATACCTAAAAAAAAACAAAGAACTAAAAAAATTACAAGACCCGAGACGTCAAAACTTAAAACCAAAGAGTATAGGAACCACAGAACACTATTACTCCTACGGAGAAGAACGCCAACTTCATATAAAATAAAATGGATATACCCACTAGCTCCATCTATAGTCGGCCCACCTGCAATATTTTCGTGGCGGGAAAATTTGAACGTTGCTCTTTTTTTTTTGGGGGATTATTTGAGGTATTTTTTTGGGTTGCCTATCCCAGCGCTGAATAAAAGAACAATAAATTACAGTTTTCTATTTATTTATTTAAAATACAAATTAAAATTAAAAAATATACATAACTTAAAAAAAAGTACTTTACAAAACTGGTGTTTTAGGTATAAATTATAGAAATGACAAGTAATTTCCGACAATATGTTCTACCCACTAATTACCTATATGAGAAAAAGATATGAAAGGATGTACCACCTTTTCTCATAACTTTTCTTTTTATAAGTCTGGACCCAAAGGGTGTTATCAGGACCATAATAATAAGCCTACAATGTCTGTCTTGTAGACTTAGTATTATAGTCCTGATGGAATGTGACCACCATACATGCGGCATCGCCAACGCGACCAGTATTTGTATGCTGGCTACCTAATAGCAGGTGGTTCTAAGGTACAAAAACACATTTCTTGAACATGCATAATACTATAACACAACAGACGGTATACAAAATTTCTCCAGCAACTTAGTTCTATCTATAGTCATTAGATAAGTTCAAACAAGAAAATAAAATTCAATATTTATCACAATATTTCAATTACCTATGTAAAACAATGATAAAAATAATATTATATATAATTTACAATCATGAATGAATTGATAGTATAAATATATTTTTCTCAAGCAACTTAATTAATAAATAAGCTCTTGCATTGCACCTGGCAAAGTGTAAAAACTCATAAATTAATTTTAACAATATTTGGTTGTCTATTTATTACCCTGAATTAACACTTAAAATGTCTCTTTATATAGTTTCTTATGATTTATTTTAGTTGATTAATTTAGGTGACTAGACTTTTATGTAAAATTCTGCAACAAGCTTTGTCAAATAATTTATATAAAATGCAAAACTACTCTTCAAATTACCTGTTCCAATCTCACTACCAGATGAAATATTTGTTCTGCACTGAATGTCATATTCCATAAATAAATTTCAAAAACGCTTTAACAAATGTGGTGTATCAAAAAGAGTCACTATTTCTTTGTTGTGGAATGTAAAATGGGGTTCTTGCATATTTGCACCCAAAACAGACAGAACTCGCCAATTTACTTCATCCATGTCACAGACTATTGTAGATATATTTATTCCAGCCTGAAAGCACTGATTTAAGACCTGAAATTAAAAATGAAATATAGTTTACTGCTGTTGAGATTGTTTAGTCAACATTATTAGATAATAAAGAAAACAAAACATCATATAAAGAACTATAAACTACCTTTTTCATTAGTACAGCAAGTCTATTTGCAGTTGAAAATGCACAGGAGAAATAGTGGGTACCATGGTCCTGATACCCTTCAATAAAATCATCTTTTGGGTTGTACATTTCTTGGAAGCATCATTGAAATCACCATCATTAAAATGTTTTTCACACAGCATTCTGTGCTCCTTATGTAGCTTTGCCTGGAAGGTCTTTGGCAGGAAACAAATATTTCGCCCACAATGTACAGCTGAAACCAAAAAATATTATTATTAAATACTACAGCTGAAACCAAAAAATATTATTATTAAATACGAATAATATCAAAGTAGTTCTAGTGGTTTACTAACCAATATTCTGTTTATAGATGGTTATGAGAAATAACCTTTATAAGTTGGATAGAATAGACTTCTCTTTAATCTGTCAAGCCTTTGAAGTACACATGAGGCAATCCAAGGTCAACTTTGTAGAACGCTCCAAAGAGTATGGTAATATTTAGAAAGGACCCCTCAGAACCAAAGAGTATATGATCACTACACTACGTTTAGTCAGAACCATAGTTATTGTGCTCATAACAATTATTTTTTAAATGTTATTTAGATGAACTATAAAACTAAAATTTTATTAGAATTAGTTTCGTTATTAAATTACGCTTCTTTAAATTAACAGAATTTACTTCAAATGACGAGTTTCCGCCTCGCGTCGCGTTTACGTCACATACTTTAGTCTTATATCCTTCGCCGCGTGAGTGTAAGAGGCAACTAGAAATTTTACAAAAAATTAAGTGGGTACAATAGAAAGTTTTTTGTTAGTTTTTATACAAATGGTAAGTAATTACACTGTTTTAAAATTTAATTCCTTATATTTTGCTTCGTAACAATTTCATATATTTTATAAAATTGCCATTTCAAATACTGTGTCGTTCACGTATCACTATATTTAATAGCCAGAATTAACTGTAAAAGTAAATAAAAAGTGTGAGTTATCACAATAAATCATGTAATAAACACAAATTTTCATATCCCACAAAGTCCAATGCGCGAAAATTACGTTTTATGTTATAATTTCGATATATAGTGAACATTATGGCGAAGTTGTTTTCAACAATAACTAAAAATAAAAATGTGAATGTGAAGCACCAGCTTTCAAATAAAAAAAGAATCATCGAAATCAGTTCACCCAGAAGGTTATGAGGTAACACACATAGAAAAACACAGTCGACTTCCTTCTCCTGTTTGAAGTCGTTAGAAAAATGGCGTTGCTCAAAGATAGCGTAATAAAGTATATTCTTTATTACGCTATCTTACGGATGTACAAGTATATACCTGTGATTTAATTTTTTTTGAGGCTTCTACTGAGTTTATCGATATTATTATATTATATATTTCTTTTCTTTATGAAAATCAAGTGTTTCTATGTCCTTGTTTCTTTCTTCATAATATATATATATATATATATATATATATATATATATATATATATATATATATATATATATATTATGTATATATATTGAATTTTAACATAATATAGCGATTCGTTAGATTTGCCTTAGTTGTAAAAGTGAAATATTATTTACTTTTTTTTCTTTTCAGTAGAATTGTTTGGTTTTGTTATTTAATATTGTTTTAACCATTGAACTTGTTTACGCAACTTTTGTTTAATAAATTGTTTGATGCTGTTTGATGACTTTTTTTACACATAATTGTTTACCACCCGCGGATTTTCCGGACCGATACGACTTAGGGACCTTCAAGAAAAGAGCTTACACCTTTCTAAACGGCCGGCAACGCATCTGCAATTCCCCTGGTGTTGCGGTTGTTCATGGGCGGCGGTAGTCACTTACCATCAGGTGAGCCGCATGCTCGTTTGCCCCCTCTTCTATAAAAAAAAACACAAAAATATTTTTTTAAATAATAAAATTAATCCCTCCCTCTCCTTACAGTTTCATTCCATTGCTGGTGATGGACCGTTACATCCTATAAAAACCCCCAATGAACATAGGCCTCCACTATATTCCTCATAGAGGGTATACTTGTCATAGTTGCCACGTTCTGTTCCACGGTACACGTACCTTGTTGTATTGAACAGTGGATCAGTCGCCTCTTACGAAACCCACGGAATAGTATGAATATTCATACACCGCCACTACACAGTAATTGATAATTTCTCGAAACATTTCATTTATCGACAAATCCTCTTGCAATCGTCGTCACTCTAGCGCTCACTTGACCTTCATATAAATAATTCGATATTTTAATTGTTGATAATTTTTTATTTTTGGATATGAACATAGTAATGACTCTAAGTTATTTTTACCATTTTTTTAAAAAATCGTCTGGCCTGACCTACTATACTCTTTGGCTTGACCATAGTTCTAACTAAATATGTCCAATAAAATGTCAAGGTCTGAGAGGTTAAGGTTAGGAACTTGAAGTGAATAAATACGTACCGCAAAATGTTCTCGCGTATAACCTGTCGGAAATATCTGCGAACCTCGCTGGAATGCGCTTCCCCTCGCGCTTCCCCGCACCTCCGCCCGTTATCGTCTATCCAGTACCGTTGCCATCTCTCCATATTGCATGACGTCATCAAGCCAGGTTCGCAGATATTTCCGCCCGTTATCGTCTATCCAGTACCGTTGCCATCTCTCCATATTGCATGACGTCATCAAGCCAGGTTCGCAGATATTTCCGACAGGTTATAGTGTTACTATATAGTTTGTGAATGTTCTTTACTGCAGACTTCGGATTTCGGAAAAATAAATAATTTAATGTTGTCTACGGCCCGTGAGCTGCCGCACTTAAAACACTTCCTTCTATTTTCTTTATCCGCCATTCCACAGCACGGTTTTTAGAGTCACTTTCTCGTATTTCACTGCGGATCAATGTCTAATACTTTGCACAACACAAAACGGACGAAATAAATCTTAATTCGACGTCCTAAGCTCGTAAAATCGTAGAAAAGGAGATACAATCCAAACAAAAACTACAATCCATAGATAAATATATATGTAGCAAGCTACAATCAACCTTGAACGACAATAATGCAACGGCGCCCTATTTGTTTTTAGTGCTACCAGAAACGAATATAATTTTCTACTCATTAAAAATCAAAACAAAAAAAAAAGAACATTTTTTTTCCTTTTCTGTCAATGATATGATAATATAATAACGCAAAAAAATGTGGCAGAGATAGTAATCTTCATAAGAAAAATTTACAATTTGAGAGTTTCTAATTCATCTTTTGCAAAATATTACTTATTGTCACACAGGACATTTATCTGACAAATGGCAATCATGAAATTTAGCCCCCGTAGGCATTCCATTCCGCCCATACAAAGTTGACCGGGCCTAGGAACTCAAAACTAAAAAATTAAAACACGACAAATTCTCAAATTAAGCTTGGGTGAAAAACATCGATACATCAAAATATCGAAACTTTCTTATAAAAATATCGATATTTATCGTTGTAATTTTTAATCGCTGTTCGCGCCAAACGCTAATTTCAGGAACTAACGCGAGAGGGCGCGCGGCTCGGTGCCATACCGGTTTTGACGTCGGCCGAGCGGTGGGTTGAGAACGCGTAAAGGCGAAAGAGT